TTCTCAATAGGCAGGATTTTGGTTGATTTTTTATTAATTTTCCTGAGGTGAACAATTACTCATTGCGTACTGTTGAAGAGTCTAATAAACCATCAACTAAACGACCTAATTATGGTTAATAATCTTAAAACGTCCAAGAGAGAACTCTGAATAATTCTAATAAGATTAAATATGAATAATGGTAATATCGTCAGATTCTGCAAATCTGATTGGATAAAAAATTTTTTAGTTAATCAAAACACAAGAAAAGTGGATAAAGAAGAAATTCTAATATAACCTCTATTATGGGAGAAAAGGCGTGGATTTGGTAGAGCCAAGTATAGCAAGCTATCAGGATATGATCTCATTTTTATTTCATATGCATTATTAGTATTTGCACTCGAATCTCTGCTCGAAAATTTTTTTTAAAGTTATAGCATCTAATGGATCGTAAAACTAAAGAAATTACAAAAACTACTTTAATGAAATAGTAGCAAGAAAAAAAAGAATGAAAGGGAATAATGGCAAGCGTATAATCTTAAAAGAATCGCCTAAAGATGTACCCAGTCACACAACTTTGTTCAAAGTCGGCTTGAAGTTAGATTATAGGCAAACACCCCGTGACATTTTGATGGTTCAAGATAAGTTTAATCAGTATCACATTATTTATCTTTTCACTTTTTTGTTTCGGTAGTCATATATTTTAGTAAAAAGGATATCCTTCTTTTGGTCTTACTGTATTGCATAGGGACTATATTTCCGAGATTAACCGATAAATCTACTATGAATTCTGAAGCTACCCGAACAAAGAGAATTTAGTACTCATCCTAATCTATTTTGTCCTATTTAAAATATCACATAAGAAGTATACATTAGGCAAAGCTAATGGTCACATTTTAATAATATTTACATTCAGCCACTAACTGGGTTTGGCAAGCAATAGAAACTTTTCTAAGTATGAAAAGTCATTCGTAGATGGTTATATGGTTCAAGATCTCGAGACGAATATGTTTATTTAAACGACACAGTTAGACTACACAGTCTGAACTATATAGTCCCGTGATATAGTAACTTTGGATAAGTTAGCTTTATGTTTCGCTTGTATCTAAGATATTCATGATGATTTGATTATATATGTTATACTGAAGTAACCTAATTGGAATTTCTGGAAATCCTAATTAATACATTTGTTACCTTGTCATTATCAACGCAATAATTGCATCATTCAAGTACCACAAGTGTAGTTCTGATTGAAATTTTATAGCTGTACATATGACTTAATTACAATGTATCTTACCCTACAAAAAAGTTTCAGTTTTATTGGTGTCCAAAAAATGTTCAATAGAGGTTTATATACAATTATCGATGCAAAGATCATAAAAATCGTATGATTTATACAAAAGTATTAAATACACGGGTTTATCCGATATTTATGCGACGATTTTTAGAAAAACATCCATCCCGAACTTTATTTTTAGCTAACTCTTTATAGGCCATTCTATTTAGTATTACGTAATATTTATCACTGTCCAAGTTGGAGTTGCACCTGGCTGAAATTACATTTCCTCGATGAACTAAATAGTAACTTTTTTCGAAACGATGACCAGAAAAGTTTAAAAGTACTAATCGCATCAGCGAATTACACGTATTAATGCTGAGGATGCTGAATAATTACTGATTTAACAGCCTTTATTGTAAATTGCACCCTAATTTGTATTGCATTTTTCTTTTTCTTAGTGAATAATTACTGTATTTAACAGATTGCAAATTGCATTCTAATTTGTATTGCATTTATTGACTTTTTTTTCTTAATACAATAGTTGGCCTCAATATTTCTGAAAATAATAACACATCTTTAGTTATGACTAAATGAATAACAAATATGAATTTACAACATATTTAATTAGGTTTAAAATAAGACCTATTTGCATTGCATATTACGTAATCACGTGTCTGAAAATTTTTGAGGTTGATCTTTTTCGATTTAATATCGCGCTATTGATCATGGGGATATTATTAATTTCCTGGTTTGATATGTACAAGCGGAAACTTCGTATCATTATCGTTATACATATTTGCGTAAAAGATTACTACTTATCTAATTATGAATACACAAACCAAAAAAGACAAAGCAATTTAGTTAGCTCATTCAGATACAATATATTAAAAATAAACATAGGGATCTGTGCCAAATTACCAAATTTATAGTACTCGTCCCGAATCTGTAGGAATTTTGTAATTTTAGTATAATCGGGGCTAAAATTAAAATTTCTCATCCGAGATTAAATCCTGCGTAAGAATTATAGATGCTTTTTTTTTGCATATCTCTTATATTAATAAAAATTTAATAAAAAAATTATATAAAAATAGCATTTTTTTTTTTTTAGCTAATAAAAATTCAATAATATATATTATAATTTAAATTATCAAAAACTTTAAATCACACCATTGGTTTCTTTATAATAGAATTGAATATTGGAAATAAGATTGGATATTGGAGAGCATCGAGTGTTAATTACTCATCTAGTTTTTGAAATAGCAACCGTAATGTTAAACATCACTGGTGTGATTTAACAAAACCGTTTGATAATTATTTATAATATAGGTTACTCTCGTTATAGTGAACTCTCGATATAAGTATAATGAAGAACAGTATATATAAAAACCCTCTCGATATAGTGAATTTACTCAAAATTTACTAATAGGCTCTCGATATAGTAAAAAAAAATTTCACATCACTACGTATAACGAGGGTGTCTTGTGTTAGTAAACATGCAAAATTTAATTATATACGTATATCTTATCATTAAAAAAAAATTTAATTATATAGATACTGTAATAATAATAGTTCTGAATATCTACATTCCAAATATCAAATATACTTGCTGCCAAATCAAAAACCCTGGCCAAACTAATACTCAAAAACTTTATTATTAGTCTTTAAAACAAATATCAGATTGGATTGGATCCTATCACAACCGTAAACTCGGTTTGGCCGAGAAATTCGGATTAGGCCCGGACTGGATCTGATTGGGCTTGATTACTCTATCAGATTAAAAACATCGGAACCGGATTCAACCCGAATTTCGGATCCTCGGTTCAACCCGATCCTTTTAATCCGAATAGGAATACTATATCGATATATATTTTTATATATAGTTATATATACAGTATTTGCAAGATCATTTTTTATTTAATTATAAATGGCAATTGTTTTTTGTGGTTTGAGATTTGTTCGGGATTTGCCGGCAGGTATAATTTAGGAAGCCGAAAATACATGAGGACTAGTGATGCTGGTGAAATTAAATCAGTGTGGTGAAATGATTTCACCATTTCACCAATCACCAATCGGTATTGGTGTAACTGGTGTAACTGGTGAATTGGTGAATTGGTGAAACGGTGAATTGGTGAATGGTGAAACGTGAATTGGTGAAACGGTGAATTGGTGAATTGGTGAAACGGTGAATTGGTGAATGGTGAAACGTGAATTAGTGAAACGGTGAATTGGTGAATTGGTGAAATGTTGAAATGTCATAAGTCTGCTGTTGAAAATAGTAACGAAAGTGAGTTAGTGTCTGATAAAATTAATATGAACAG